CATAAAATAATGTAATACAATTCCTATTGTAATCTATCTATCTATACATCTATACTATATATAAAAACAATATCCTGCAATTTAAACTCTCCGCCCAATTCCTAAAAAATCTCTCTTCTAATAAAATATATTGATTTCTACTTTCCTATTCGTGCAATAATTCTGGGTTAAAATTTTATTCTAAAATCAAAAAATAATGTAATACAATTCCTATTGTAATCTATCTATCTATCTATCTATCTATCTATCTATCTATCTATACATCTATCTATACTATATATAAAAACAAAATCCTACAATTTTAACTTCCCGCCCAATTCCTAAAAAATTTCTCTTCCTGATAAAATATATTGATATCTACTTTCCTATTCGTACAATAATTCTGGGTTAAAAACAAAAATAACATATATACATTTTAGGTTAATATTTCCCAAACCCCCCTAATAATAAATAATAATTTTTTTATCGCCCCGCTGGCCGCGACTAGGAAGTCCGGAATCGGCCTCCTCCGCTTCTGCTTCGCTGGCTTAACCGGCGATTAATTTAATTTAATTTTTTTAATTTTTTTTATAGGTTGTAAAGTATCAAAAGTTCGGCAAGGCATAACTTTTGATTCGGTTGTCCGTTTTGGACAAATGTTTTTTTGAAATCGCGTATTTTTTTGAGATCTATCCACTGCAAACTGTTATAGGCGGTTTGACCAACTAATTTTTTTAAAAAAATGCTTTATTAAATAGTTTCTAATAAAAAACTATGAGAACCTTATGTTTTATTAATGAATTTTTATAATTTTTAATTAAAAAATGTCCTGTGTATTACGCTTTACATTAACGAGTAAACCCCCCTTAACAATCCCCGGTGGTCAGGAGCAATGCAGATCCTTTGCCTCGCCCAAGATCAGAACGAGCTTGCCGGCGGACCACTGCCGTCCCATTTAATAATCTCTCTTTATAATTGGTTAAATTATTTAATTATGAGAAATTAGGGAATAATTAATGATGGTATTAGAAACCCTAGAAGAATATAGAATTGAAGAATATTTAATTATTGTTATATTATTATTGTGGCTCACGGTATACAATTCAAGAATATTTAATTATGGTTATATTATTATTGTGCCTCACGGCCATTGTATACTAACAGAACTTGAAAAGAAACTAATAATAATAATAATATAATAATATAAGTGGTAATAATAATATCTAGAAGTAATTAAGTGTTAATAATAATAGTAAGAATATTAACGTAAGAATTAAATTTGGAATTTTCAGAAGATAAGCGACCTCTGGTGAAATTAACTCTTAAATAATTATATATCAATTTAAATATTTTTAAAATATTACAACAATTTCATTACGTGCATCGCACGGGTGAAAATACTAGTATATATATAAAAAAATTATTGGCTAAAAATGAATCTGATATTACTAATTAACTGAAAATATAAAAGGATAACTAATTAAGTGATATTCTACCATTATATATTTTCACCCAGGTAACCCGTCTTGATGGATTGAAAGTGTTAGCTCTAGACGAAGATGAACAAGATTGTGTTGTCACTACCAATGTCGTCTACAAAGAGGTTTCAATAATGTGTAAATATAATCGGTGATATTAAGTTTTTTTTAAAATGAAAAAAAATGCTATATATCTTGACAAAAAATATATATATCTTGTTAGAATAATTATTAATGTTGGTATTCTATTGGCTCATAAATATTTATTTATATTTAATAATGAGATAGTTCTATGATTGGCCAGTTAAGGATAATAGCAGTTCCAACTCCTTATCAGATAATAACCTCTCAGGTTGATGGAACCGAGAGATAATGTTTTTACCATTATTCTGATTCTCTGGTCCTCTCCCCAACCTTCAGAAAAATAAAACTAAAGTCTCTCTCCATCAGAGTTTTTAAAGAAATGAATGTTGAAGGTCTGGAGGGAGAAACCAAGTCTCTAGTTCAAGCATTCACGGGACAACACCGGAACCAGGTATGTTCACTGAATGCCAATTGAATACAGTATGTGAAATCATGTGTTCTGAAGATCTGGTATTTTAGGATTAACTTACATGTGGTATCAAGAGCCAAGTTGTAGAACATATGTTTTTCCATATATTATGATGAAAGGTTGTATGTACGTTCTTTTGATGGCATGAAGCATAAAGATTATTGTAACTGTGGTTTACTTCGTTTATATATGTATGTATGTACTGTTGATTTATTTGCATATGTATGCACTGGTTTGGTAATCAAAGATTTGCCGCATGGTTTCGTAATGATTTACAATAACTTCGTAAAATGTTGATGGCATGAATTGAGTTTGTTTATTAACTTTTGCGTATGTATGTATGTATTGTTTATTATATAGTTCTTAAAATATTACAACAATTTCATTACGTGCATCGCACGGGTGAAAATACTAGTATATATATAAAAAAATTATTGGCTAAAAATGAATCTGATATTACTAATTAACTGAAAATGTAAAAGGATAACTAATTAAGTGATATTCTACCATTATATATTTTCACCCAGGTAACCCGTCTTGATGGATTGAAAGTGTTAGCTCTAGACGAAGATGAACAAGATTGTGTTGTCACTACCAATGTCGTCTACAAAGAGGTTTCAATAATGTGTAAATATAATCGGTGATATTAAGTTTTTTTTTTTAAATGAAAAAAATGCTATATATCTTGACAAAAAATATATATATCTTCCATACAAGTGAATAAGGATAGCAATTCATTTCTATAACTGAGTTGTTAGATAACGAGCACATTTGCCTAATTTATGAAAATACTAAACAATGATAAATAAAATCTTCAAAATATAGCACCGCATGCGTACATCTAAATATAGCTATTAATTTGAGCAATTATTTGCACAAATTCAAGCAATGATAACATCAAAATATAGAGTTAATACCCAAATTTGTCCTCGACTATAGTGGTTTTTCTCAATTTCATCCTAAATGACTTTGGTGACCTAATATAGTCCCAGACTTTTGTGTTTCGCTCAATTTAGTCCTCCGTTTGTTATTCCGTCAAATTGGTGTTAAATAAAGAGACAATTCAATAATATCAATGATTCAATATTGACATCTCTTTACTTTCAACCTGCGAAGTGAGAAATCCCTCTTTCTTGTACGAATTACACTCAGAATTACTCTCAGGCCTACAAATCAAATTTTATATTCGTAGGTTTAGGAGTGATTCTGGGAGTAATTCGTTTTAAAAAAAATGAATTTTACACTTTACATGTCTATGAGTAAAGAGATGTCAATATTAAAATTACTGAATTACCTATTTATTTAACAACAAATAGACGGATTAACAAATGAGAGACTAAATTGAGTAAAAACACAAAAGTCTAGGACTAAATTGAGTAAAAACACAAAAGTCTGGGACAATACTAAAACACCAAAGTCGTTTAGGACAAAATTGAGAAAAACCACTATAGTCGAGGACTATTTTGGGTATTAACTCTCAAAATATATAAACGATCCAAATCATATCTTTAATTGTACTATAATATATTTGATATTCTAATTTAAAAAATTATATATTGATTCATATATTATTAATATATTACAACAAATCCATTCCGTGCATCGCACGGGTGCAAATACTAGTTTCAAATAAAACCATATTAAAAAGTAAACTTGATTTTATCTTTAATAATTGAGAACTAATATAATTTAAATTTAAGTTGACGATAATAATCTTACATTTAACACTCACTTAACAGAAAAATTAACGGATGACTATTTATGATAAAAAATGAAAGTCGAGGTATGTGTTTTGATCGAATTGAAAATCAAAGACTAAAAGAAGTAGTACTACCTAATAGTCAAAGGACCATTTGTGGTATTAACACTTTCATAATCAATTTATTAACTTTAAAAAAGATCCAAATTACATGTAATGATATATTTATACGTTTGTTAAATATTACATATACTTTAAAATAATAGTGAATATTATATATATTTATACCATTGATCGTGTTTATACTGTGTCGCATATTAGTTAAAAATTAAAATGTCTTAGTAATTAGTTTAGGAAGAATTTCATTTTTAGTCATTTGACCCATTGTCACACTTAATTATGTTTAACTAAAAAGAGTAACTCAATTAGGAAATGAGCTTCTTGATTGTCGCATTTAATTATGTTTAATAAAAAAGGATAGCTCAAGTGAAAATTGAACTTCTTCATAGAGACAATCTCAAAAATAAATCCCTCAAAGCATAAAATTGGACGGAGATAAGCACAGAACACCTTATGATTTATACTAAAAAATATTTAATTATATTTTGTAAATTGTCACATTTGATTATTTATTTAAATATGACTAAAATGTAATTTAATTTGCTACCATGTATAGTTGCTTCAGTGCCAACTTCAAGTTCAGCAAACCTCATTTGTCCTGCATGTTAGAAATTGAGTGGAATAAAATGAACAGGAGAAATTGCTGGACTTCAACCGCCACAATGTATAGGCTGCAACATCTTCATAAATCATAATATTCTTGTTTTTCTACACTTGCGTATAAGAATTTTGTCAATATTAAATGAGAGCATGAATGATTATTATAGTGTAGGTAGATAATAGACGCCAAAAACAATACAAAACAAAAAAAAAAAACAAAAAAAAAAAACAAAAAACAAAAAAAAAAAACAAAAAAAAAAACCAAAAAAAAACAAAAAACAAAAACAAAAACAAAAAAAAACAAAAAACAAAAAACAAAAACAAAAAAAAAAAAACAAAAAACAAAAAACAAAAAAACAAAAAAACAAAAAACAAAAAACAAAAACAAAAAAAAAAAACAAAAAAACAAAAAAAAAAATAAATAAAACAACAACAAAAAAAAAAACTATGAATTTCCCTTTAGGATGACCTTCATGGCAACTCAGATTTGTTTGGATGGATGTGCTTCATTCCCATTTAAGAGTACCAGTCTTTACAGGTTCTTCAATTTTCATTGGTACACAGACCAATTTGCTGTCTTCTTACATGCTACAAAAAAACCAGACCTCACTTGCTTGCCAACTGCTCTACACCAAATCAGCAACACCTATCAGTTTCAACAAGTATATTAGATAATAGCCCTGCTTAAAAACCAAAATGCAGAAATTAATAGAGAAACAGAAGATCTATTCTAAGCACAGTAGCACACTAAAGGCTCCAGGATTTTAGGTAAAAAACCATAGACTGAAACATGCATCAATCCTGCCCTATGAACCAAAATTTACAACAGCTATACTTTTGGGGTGACGAGGGGAACCCGCAGCCATGACCCGAGGGGTGTGCACTGGGTAAACTCTGCCTTGTGACTCTAGCCGGCAAAGGATCACAAGAAGATAAACCAGCCTAGGTTGCCCATAGCTGACCGGCTCAAACCAAGAGGTTGTGTAATATCTTGTATAAACTTGTCTCTAAAATTCTTGCCAACTGGATTAAGCCTCTTCTTAATCATCTTGTGTCTGAATCCCAAACTGCCTTTGTCCCTGGTAGATTGATAACTTAACTGATAATGTTTGGTTGCGTATGAAATTAATCATTATTTGAATAAGAAGAGACAGGGGAACATCGGGTTTGTGAGGGTCAAACTAGATATGAGCAAGGCATATGACAGGGTCAGCTGAGAGTCGTGCTTAGCAGAATGGGTTTTTCAGGGCATGTGATTAAGTTAATCTGGGAGTTGGTTTCTACTATTGAGTATAGAATTATTTTGGAAGGGAGGGAAGTTGGGTGTATCTCTCCGAGGAGAGGGCTACGTCAAGGGGATCCAATTTCTCCTTATCTTTTTATCCTTGTGTTGGAAGCCTTTCATTCTATGATTCAGAGGAAAGTAAGAGAGGGGATGATTCATGGTGTTTCTATTGCTAGGGGAGCCCCTGTGATTACAAACCTCTTCTTTGCGGATGATTGTTATATGTTTTGTAGAGCTTCTACTTCTGAAAGTCTTGTGCTTAGAAATGTTATTGATACTTCCGCAGAGGCTTCGGGGCAGACTGTGAATTACTCAAAATCCACACTTACTTTTAGTAAAAATGTTGTTGGGGACATTAGAGGGGCTTTGGGAATGAGTGGGAATTATATTGGATTGGCTTCCTTGATTAGTAGGAATAAGAGGGAGATATTGGGTTTTATAAAGGACAAAGTGTTGGGAAGAACCAAAAGTTGGACAAACAAATTCCTTTCTAGAGCGGGGAGGGAAATTCTTTTCTTCTTACAAATGTCATCCAACGTATTCTTAATTCCTTTGGAAATGGGGAGAGAGATTGAATGGTTTTTGGTGGGGTTGTGAGGGTGATTAGATGGAAAGGGTGGGAAGCACTATGTGTTCCTAAACAATGGGGTGGGATGAGTTTTAGAAGGATTCGTGATTTTAATGTGGCTTTATTGGGTAAACAAGCATGGAGGACAATCCAAAGTTTATAAAGCTAGATACTTTCCAAGAAATTATTTTTATATGTATACTTTTCTTATATGCTAAAAACATCTGGCACCCTCATTGCTCTATATACCTTGCACTCTTCAAATCGAGGATGAAGACTCAAATTGAGCAATGAGGTCCAAGTAAAAGCAGAGTAAATAATAATAGTTTCTGCTCTAATTCATGGCACAGTAAATCAAGTACATTTCACAAATAAATTGCAATATCTATAATTGTTCCTAAAACCCTAGAGACATTACATTTCAGAAAGAAAGCAAAACTCGTACCTAAAAGTAGAATGAATTTATTAGCAGGACACCCAATTCTTGTGAGTACTGATGAGAGCCGAGAGAAGCCCGGCGGAGGACAATAGAAGCTTCCCAGAAACCAATCCCTTGCCATCTTGAATATCATCAACAGCCATTAAAGCATCGGCGAAATCTTGCACAATCGAAAGCCTCTTCATCAGCTTCTTCTCTCTCAATTTTCTTAGCTTCTCCCCATCCTCTAGACGCGCAACACCACCCACCGCCGCGATCTCAATACTCGAAACCACACCCGCCTCGTCCTCGCCAATCTTCTGTAGTTCCTTCACCTTCAAGATCACACTGCCTATGTACCCGATCAGCTCACACCAGGCGCTAATTCTCTGCAATTGACTCAAATGTTTCTTGTCGATGAGCCCCGCTTTGCCCAGCCAAACAAACTGTTCGACGAAATAGTATGCCCCCTCACCGCCGTAGACGACGAGGCCGAGTAACAAATGCGCGACGGAAGTGAAGGGGGACAGGCCACGAAAGGCGTTGACGACTTGTACGAACTTCCCAAGGCGGAAGGCTTTGCGGCTGACCCCGACGCTGGATTCGAAAGATTTAAGGCGGTCGGTCAGGGGAAGATTGGAAGGGAGGACGGAAGATGCGAGGATGAATTTGGCGGCATAGCGGGAGATTTTGAGCAGCTTGTCGACGCCGTCTCGCTTGGCTAGGTAGGCTTCGAGGTGGATGAAGAAGTCCCGGTTCTTGGGAATCGAAGTCGACGGGATATTGAGAGCTGAAGATTTGGGGTCCATGGAGTTTTCTTGATCGATGTGGAAAATGGAAATGGCCTTTCCATTTGTAGTTCTCTCCGTTTTGCGTGCCAATTTTATATCGCAAACGTTTATACGCAACTAGCAGTAGCACTATCTGACTTTTTTTTTTTTTTTTTTTTTTTTTTTAGGGTACAATGTGAAAACATATATGATCTATATTTTATATCGCAAACGTTTATGCGCAACTAGCAGTAGCACTATCTGATTTATTTATTTATTTTTTTTTATAGATGGTGTAAATAGAAAAGTGCTATTTACACCATATTCATTAAATGTAGTCAAACATTAATATTTATTATTCATTTTTTTAACAATCAAATTATTAATTAAAAAAAAATAAAAATGAACCCATCACCTTCTTCGGTGAGAAGGCGAGGGGCTGCCTTCTCACCGGAGAAGACAACTGGACTGCCTTCTCTCGTAAAAAGGCAATTGGGCTGCCTTCTCTGTTAAGAAGGCATCCCAGTGGGTCGCCTTCTCACCGGATATTAGGACTCTATGTATTTGAGTTTGATTATGATTCTCTATCTCAGTCTCTCTGAGATTTCCTTCTTATGTATACCTGAAATCTGTACATTGTATTATTCATTCAATACACAACTCTATTAGCTCTCATCTGGTACCAGTTAAACTAGGGTTTTCTTTACAATGACTGACGGATCTGTTAATTCCTCTTAATAGACCATCTCTAATGCTCATATCTCTTCCGCTACGTCAATGGTTAATTCTTTATCCACCGCTCACCACTTCATCAGCATTAAGTTGACCTACAAGAACTACCTATTTTGGAGAGCCCAGGTTGTTCCTTTTCTTGATGGTCACGATCTTCTTGGATTTGTTAATGGAACGAATCCATGTCCTCCAGCCACCCAAACCGGCGTCAGCGATGATACGGCAACTACGCAGCTCAATCCGTCGCATCGTGCGTGGGTCCGGCAGGACCAAGACTTATTGTCCATGTTGATGTCATCCTTCTCCGATGAGGTCATGCCTCTGGCCATCGGCCACCGCACCAGCCTGGCTGTCTGGACTGTTGTGGTTGGTGCACTCGCGTCGTCTTCCCGCTCCCGGGGTCTCAATCTACTCAGAAAATTGCAGACACTCGATCAAGGAGACATGTCTGCGACTGACTACATCGGCAAGGCTAGGGTTTTAGTGGAGGAGCTCGCTCTCACCGGCCGCCCTATGACACTCGAAGAACAAAATCTTTACGTTCTTCACGGGTTACGCCCAGAGTTCAGGGGTCTCGTATCGTCTCTCAACATACGCGGCCAGCCTATTACTCTCTAAGAGCTTGCAGATCTCTTGGGCGCGGAGGAATTTATGACGTGCGGTGGTTCTGGAGGTGGCTCGCCGGCCGCTTTCACGACGCAAAAGGGCAGCCAAAAGGGCCGCGGTTCTGGGCGGGATAACGGTGGCCATGGTTCCAGCCAGAGCAGCGGTCAAAACAGCGACCAAACCGGCCAGCCGCGTGGTGGTGGCGGCAGCCGCAGGCGTGGTGGCGGTCGCCGTGGTGGAGGACGGAATGGCAACTGGCAACCCAAGTGTCAACATTGTCATGTGTTAAGTGACTTAGGTCACAGTGTCACACTGCTTCCACATGCCATCTTTGGTGTGACAAAGATCCTCATGCTAATGTCATATATCAAGAAACTCCTTCGGGTCCTCAAGATTCCACACTTGGCTTCCAAATATAGGTGCCACCAATCATGTCATTCCGGACATGGCTGCTCTCTCCTTCTCGGAGGACTACAATAGTAATGACACATTACGTGTTGGTAATGGTATGAGATTACCTATTAGTCGTATTGGTCATGTTACCTTTAATTTCCCATCTAGATCTTTTCAGTAGTCTAATATCCTTCATGTTCCTAGTTTGTCTACATCTCTATTTTTTGTTCAAAAATTTGCATCAGATAATAAGGTGTTCTTTGAGTTTCACCCATCTTTTTTTTGTTGTGAAGGATATCAACACCAAGGAAATTCTTCTACGGGGTAATAGTTCTGGGGGGCTTTACAAGCTTCCCATTCTGAGTTCGTCACCAACTGCGTTTCTTTCTGCTAGAGCCTCAGCATCTGTATGGCATGATCGTCTTGGTCATCCTCATCAACGAGTTCTCAGTCAAATTCTTTCGTCTTGTTCGGTTAGTGGGTTTAGCAGTAATATTCATTGTTCTTCCGGTCTATGTAATGCATCTCAATTAGGGAAATCTACACGGTTTCCCTTACCACGTGTTGAGTCCTCTAGTTCGTGTGTCCTTAATTTAATTTACACAGACATTTGGGGACCTGCTCCCATTCTTTCTACTAATGGATATCGTTATTTCATTATCTTTGTTGATGACTACTCTCGTTATACTTGGTACTTTCCTATGTCACAAAAGTGTGATCTCTATGCTATCTTTGATAACTTTTGGGCTATGGTTGAACGTTCATTCAATCGCAAAATTAAATCCATTCAGTCTGATCTAGGAGCTGAATATAAAACGTTACACACCACCTTGGCTCAGTTAAGCATTCTTCATAGACAATCATGTGCGTATACTCATGAACAGAATGGTCGTGTCGAAAGAAAGCATAGACATATTGTTGAAACTCGTCCAGCTCTCTTAAGTCGTGCCTCCATTCCTTCTAAGTTTTGGGATTATACTTTTGAGACTGCGATTTATTTAATTAATAAAATTCCATCCGATGTGACACATAAATCCAGTCCTCATCTTCTATTGCATAAATCCCCCCCCCCCCCATCCTATTCTTTTCTTCGTGTCTTTGGTTGTCTATGCTATCCTTATTTGCATCCCTACAATCGTCATAAGATGTCTTACAGGTCCTCTCTATGTGTCTTCTTAGGCTATCCTGAGTCATTTAGGGGGTATAGGTGCATGGACCTTCAGACTAACAAGGTATATATATGCAGGCATGTTCGGTTTGATGAGAATGTTTTTCTTTTTGGCAAGACAGTTTTGCAGGCACCACTAGTTCAAACGACTCAACCATGGGCTGAGTCTATTCTTGTTCCAGCTTCATCATCCGTCTCGGCTCAACCGGTCTCGCCTGTTTCCGGTCCTGGCCAACAGCGAATCTAGCCAGCCAGAATCGCTGAATCGGCCCAGGATGGGCCCTCGGCGGACACCGAACCTACTGCCGCTCAACGACGCCGTGGCCGGCCGAGAGGTCGGTCGTCGCGCCCCATGGTTCAGACTCAATCCATGGCTACTCGAAGTCACGCTGATGGTCCTCTCTTGGTTCTATCAGCCCAGGTTTGCCCCCACTGAACCTACTTGTTATACACAGGCTGTTAAACATGATGAATGGCGCAATGCTATGGATGATGAATTTAATGCGCTCCTTCAGAATGAAAACTAGTATCTTGTCCCATCTCAGTCTAATATGAATAATATTGGGTGTAAATGGGTTTTTCGCACCAAAAGGGAAGCTGATGGGACAATCGATCGATACAAAGCAAGATTGGTAGCAAAAGGATTTAATCAGGTACCCGGTCAAGATTTTTTTGACACCTTCTGTAACACCCCGTGTTACGGCCTTTAATCCTGGATTAATTATTTAATTAATTCCGTTAATAATAATTAAAAAGGATTTAATTTGGTTAGGATTCCCTTTAAGTTAATGTGATCCACCATGGATCGTGGACCCTTGCCTAAACTAGAGTCTTAAGCCCATTAAGAATAAAACGGAGTAAACTTTTTACTAGTCAGATTCTAATTAGGAATTCCAGACCTATTAGGAATAAAGATAGTAGGCCTTTATTACTCAGATTCTAATTAGGAATCCTAGACCTATATACCTGTTAGGAATAGAATGTAGATCTTTACTATTCAGACTCTGATTAGCAGGGGCGGAGCCAGAGGGGGGGCAGCTGCCCCCCCTCACCCCACACCCACCCCCACCCCATATATAGTCTTTGTATAATTGTATGTATATATGTATATATAATACATGTTTTAGTATTAGTATAAAAAAACTACTAAATATTAATAAGAAGTGAGTTAGAGTAGTTAGTAGAGCATGTGTTTGAAAATATAATAAAGGTCAAGGGTTCACATCTTGGTATTAACATTTAATTTTTAATAGCTTTTTGTGTATTTAACACACACACACACACACACACACACACACACACACACATATATATATATATATTATATAACATTCTTTTATATTAATAATGAGATGTATAATTTATAATGTGTTGTCGATTCAAATTATTTTATCAAATTAATTATGTTTCATATTTTGTTATGAATATTTTTATAAAGTTTCGATGTGTTTTATTTTTCGTCCATATCCAACAATATTTATAACTATATTTCTTAGGTAAATAATGAGATGTATAATTTATAATGTGTTTTCTATTCAAATTAATTATGTTTCATATTTTGTTATGAATATTTTTATAAAGTTTTGATGTGTTTTATTTTTCGTCAATATCCAACAATATTTACAACTATATTTCTTAGGTAATTTATTTATTTATTTTGAAACTATCTCTTTTGTTTTAATGTTTCGCCTTTACTGGAAAAATTTTCTGAATCTATTTGTACTTTTTCCGCCCCCCCTCAACTGAATTTCTGGCTCAGTCCCTGCTGATTAGGATTTCTAACTCTATAAATAGGGGATTAGAAAGCAATTAGAACCCTTACCACCCATAGTTATATTACACGAAATTATTCCCAAGAGATTCCCCACCACCAAGCCTAGGGAGATCAATCGGGTGGAAATCTTAGGGAAGAACCTTAATAGTCAAGGGAGGATTAATTAAGGCTAAGAGGTAACCCATGTCTCTACAAAACCTATTTTCCTTGCTATATCTTATTCATTGACCCCTTTGATATATGATTCTGTGTTTGAGTCTTGATAGAGCTTTGCCTAGGGTTTATATTGTGTTTATGTGATAATCTTGATGTTCTTGATATTATGACTGCTTATATGAATAATCTTGTATTTTGATTATGTCTAGTGCCCTAGGGTTATATCCAATTTCGTATTGTGATGTTCTTGGTATATTTGGGTGGGATTATGCATGATCGGGTGTTGAGTCTAGCCTAGGACTTGTGGTTAGGACCTTGCATATAGATTTCTTGATATTCTTGTGGTTCTGGATGCTCCTGGACCGTTATATGATTTAGGTTTGGTTTTGGTATGTTTAGGGATCGTGTTAGAACGTATTTGGTGTGATTCTTGGTTTAAATCTGTTAATTGAATACGTGGTGTTGTCATTATGTGTTTGAATGTGTTTGCACATGGTTTCGGGTTCCACGAAAGATCCCGGGACCGAAAGTTGCCTGTGTATCAGTGGGGGTAGGTGGGGGGGGGGGGGTTGACCACCCGCTGCCCGGGACGCTATTCCAGCGGGCAGCTGGAGGGCGGTGGTCTGCCCGCCGGCCACCCGCTGGAATGGCGAGTAGCCGCCGGTGGGTGGCGACCACCCGCCACCTACCCGCTGGAAAGTTGGTGTAGTTCGTGATGTTATTCCCCGTGTTCCGTTGAGTCCCGTTGTATCCCGTTTGTCGTGTATGAGTCTCGTTTGGTGTTTTAGGTGTCGCTCTAGGAATTTATGTGTAATACGTGTCGTTGTGGATTATGTCTTGATTGTTATTTGATTATGTGTTGAATGATTGAATGTTGATGAGTATCGTGGTTGTAACACCCCCGATTTCCACGACATTTTAAAAGCTTAAATATGTAAGGCAAGGTAACTAACAGATATCATAAAACGTAAACGACAGCGGAAGACTTTAATTTAAAACGTGAAAACAGGAAGTGCTATGCCACATCCACCTCAATGTGGATACACAGGCAAGTCTAAAACCAACATACTATCTTGTTCAACATAACCACGGCACACAGGCCCAAAACACTATCTACAAAGTCTAAAGGAGCTACAGTACAACCAATAGCTAGCGCACTCGCCATAAGCTACTCAGGACCTGTAAAGCAACATAAAGAAAGGGGACGACGCCCGGTCAACGAATATTGCTGGTAACCCATTAATACGCGTTAAGTAGCATACATAGATAGTATAATTCAAAATCATTTTCAAAACGGGATACAGTATATATTAGTTCAAAAGTCATAGAGAGAAGTCAACTGCAAAGACTCTGTTTCATTCTCAAAAGAACAAGGGAAATCAACATCCCAAGACAACGTCAAGACAAGAACAACAACAGTAAACAAATACAACTTGAGGTGTATTCTACTGATCACAAAGTAGAATACCACTCGACATGCTCAACAGAAAAGAAACACATACACACATTGGCAACTACATG